ATATATATATATATATATATATATATATATATATATATATATATATATATATATATTTATACTAGCCAATTTACCCGACGTTATATGTATGCGTGCACCTAAGTGTAGGACCCTGTCAAAAAACAGTTCGCTGAAGTAAAAGTTAAAATTAAAAATTGTTCTCCTATAAAAAGTCAGATTTGTGATATTCCTTGTTCTTGTCTCCGATGAAAAGTCAGATTTGTGATATCCCTAGTTCTTGTCTCCGATGAAAAGTCAGATTTGTGATATCCCTTGTTCTTATCTCCTATGAAAAGTCAGATTTGTGATATCCCTTGTTCTTGTCTCCTATGAAAAGTCAGATTTGTGATATCCCTAGTTCTTGTCTCCTATGAAAATTCAGATTTGTGATATCCTTTGTTCTTATCTCCTATGAAAAGTCGGATTTCTAGTAACTCTTGTACTTATTTCCTATGAAAAGTCAGATTTGTGATATCCCTTGTTCTTGTCTCCTATAAAAAGTCAGATTTGTGATATCCCTTGCTCTTATCTCCTCTGAAAAGTCAGATTTCTAGTAACTCTTGTACTTATCTCCTATCAGTTGTTCATGGTTGCAAGGGATGAAAGACTTTGACTGGGTATGCATGTATGTAGGTTTCGTATTGTAGCGTTTTGTATTTCAATTCGTTAAGATATAGATTGTTTTTTATTTCTATTTTAATATGGTTGACTTTGTACCGCGCTTCGAGCCAAACCGATTACAATTAGTGGAACCTATGAAGTAATGTCTACGGTCAATATATTGGATCATCCGTAAATTTAAGACTAATCTTGTGAGAGGCTTACAATATTCGATTATAAATAGCGCACCGTCTGAATAATGACCGCCCCAGATTAAAATACAAAGGCATAATTGCCGTTTTCATATTTTCGTATTTTTAATCATTTTTTCCAGAATTGTGCTAATTCAGAAAAGTAAAAACATAGCATTAAAATAACTTGAAATAAATGTAAAGGCTTATGATTTTAATATAGTTTTTGTTTATTAAGAATTTAACATTATTATATTATAATTTATATTTTAATTTAAAAAATGCCTACATATGCCAATTTAAACAATTTCTCATAACAAAAGATGAACAAAGTAAAAAAAAGTTATTAAAATGTGTGCTTAGTTATTTTAACCGAACAGAGCTGTCAGTGCTCAGCTCGTCAAACCATTAAAATTTGTCAAAACATAAAGTTGCTAGACTTAAACCGTCTAGACCATACTTAATACATTTATGTGGAAATCTCAGCTACTGACACCCAATTATAGAACAGGCAGTGGCGTAGCTATGGAGTCTCCCCCCCCCCCAACTCCGCCGTAGCCGGTCCAAAGTCCGGGTGAGAAATTATTATCATTGATAACTTCCTCTAGGGGTGGTAATGTACTTTCAGAGTCAATTTATGAAAGATAAGCAAAAAAACAACAAAAGTTTTTTTAGAGCACACAGCGATCGTCAAATAAAAGAAATATCGAATAGTATTTATTTAGAGTGTAAATAAAGATATTTAATCACATAAAAGTTATCTTCATAAGACACGAGCACACAAAGTAACATATGGTAAAATAGATAAATATGAAAATTTTTTAAAACGAACAATGAAAACTTCACGGAAAAACTACACATTATGTATTATAGAATTTAAACTTCGAAATTCAAATAAGATTTTCGTAAAAATTTCATTGAGGAAATAATGGAATAAATCCCTGAAGATATAGTCAACTGAATTGAAATTAGAAGGACGGGCATAACGCTGTCCGAATGGAATAAATCCCTGAAGATATAGTCAACTGAATTGAAATTAGAAGGACGGGCATAACGCTGTCCGAATGGAATAAATCCCTGAAGATATAGTCAACTGAATTGAAATTAGAAGGACGGGCATAACGCTGTCCGAATGGAATAAATCCCTGAAGATATAGTCAACTGAATTGAAATTAGAAGGACGGGCATAACGCTGTCCGAATGGAATAAATCCCTGAAGATATACCCAGCTATGGCGAAGATGCTTGGGAAATATAACGAAGATTGTTACGAACACTAAGAAAGAGTTATGTGAACTCTAGCGAAGATTCTTTCGAATTCTGAAGAAGATTCTTACGGCCTGAACTCTAATAGAGATTATGGCAACATCCGTCACGTCTTTTAAGTTCTCGATCTCATAAGTCGAAAGCTTATGTGCCCATAAAACGACTTAAAATAGTAGTACAAGATCAGCTTGGGTCCCATGCACGACGTACTAAAAGCGATGGATCAGCCGTGTGACCCAGCTGGTCAGCACCCTCTATGGGTTGTAGCAGTATCGATGATGATGTTAGCCTTTCGCAAAGCAAAGCCAAACTGAGAGGCCCGCTGACCTGAAATTTTGACTATGTTTGCCTATGGGAACCGTTCATTTCATCGGACAGATTTAATTATTCCTCAGTTTTTATCTATCTTTGTCAGTTGATATTGTTGAATATGGATATCCCATGAAACTAACACGAATTTTTGGGGGAATGGAAATGGAGAGACGGAGCAGAAAGCACTGGTCTAATCAAAGCAAGGACGCAACTACAAGGTTAGCTAGAAGTAAAAGTCTTATGTTTCATTACCCGTTCTTTTTTTCATCCCGAAAATTGAAAGAAGTAAAAAATGAAAAGTTATTTTGGTGGAAGCGTATCATAACCAAAAATGTCAAAATCAGGTTTAAATCTTTCTTGGATGGCTAGAACGTGGGCCCTTGATACAGTCTTATACACGTTTGAAAGATATTTACGTCTCTGATTTGATGCTTCGGCTCTGCTCATCCCTTGACTCCGTACAGTTTGTAAAACATGGCCGAGAAACGTCTCTTCGTTGTAGACGGGGAAGTTTCCGGGAAATCCCAACGTTGACCGGATGTGGCCGTTAATTTGAAACACGCGCCACATTCTACGACAGAGGTCCTTCTCTGTAAAACATTGACTAAGTTTCCAGAAGTTGTAATACCAGAAGTAGTTTGAGATTATCGATTTTAGCTCTGTCTCGGTGTAATTTTTATAACTATAGTTGTCCAGTAAGCTTCCCATTTGTCTTTTGTCTAATATAAATTTTGAATCTCGAAAAAACGTTTCCATCTTGCCAATGTAATGTGGATGGAACACACAAGGATTGCAGACCACCGCCACGGGAAGCATGTGTCCGTCGGGCGACGTCATTGCAAAAGTCAGGAATTCTGGAAATGTAATATTCAAGAGACAAAGATCCTTGGAGAACTCTTTGCGATGCCAGAAATCGGGTAAATAGTATTTGTCTAAATAAGCGCTCCAGAGTCGAGAGTACGGATCTCTCGCAAATAAAAATTTGACCGTGGTCTCTTTGATCTCGTTTTTAGCTAAATTCCAATCGGGTTGTCCCACTGGCTGTAGTGGACCATTGTGGAGTTTCATGCGATCTATATCAAAAGGTGAGTGAATTTTCATTTGTGACATATCGTCCGGACGGGTCAAAAAGCTAAATATACGGCCCCAGAACGTGCACCCAGCTTTAGGGACGTGGCAGTACATGAGATTCTTGTTCTCGTCCGAGTAAATTGAAACGGTGTAGAGTTTGGGACCCAGATTGTAGGACCAGTGCGATGCACATGCTTGTGACATCAGAGTTATTCTACTTGACATGTCTTCCGACGTTGTCTTCCCTTGTCTGCTTGGTCTGATAAACTGGAAAATATAAAATGTCATTTCTTTAAAAAAAAAAAATTTTCAGAGCATCAATGAAATCATAATTTTATTGACATTTTGACAAAAGAATACTCGTCATAGATTGTCAATTCTATTTATTACTTTTAAAATAAGAAGTCACTACCAGCCGAGGATTGTTGTTACGTACTGTTATGATTTTGAAGATTTAATCTGTTTCAAGATTTTTCTCTTATAATAAATAATGCGTAACAAATAACTTAGAAAAAACAGCATGCAAAGAAAACGATACCAGAAGAAAAAAAAAAGGGGGGGGGGGGGGAAAACCAAAAAGTGGCAGGGGTCCTCGAGACGTCTGAGTGACGGCTCTGCTTGATCACTGTGTTATGTAATTATTTTTATATTACTAAATAGCAATGTAATTTTTTTTTTATTTTGAGATTAAACTATTTTCAGGGTTTACTACTTAAATGATATATGAGTTTTGAAAACACAAAAAAATTATTCCCAAAATGTTCAAAGCACTATAAAAAAAGTTCTGCTAGCATCATTTTACAATTCGAGGGCAAATTAAAGAAAAACAACTAACATGTCATCATAAATATTAAATACTTTTTAAAAAAAATGTTTCCAAGTCTTACAACCAGAGTCGAAAAGAAAAGAAACTATTTTGTATAAAAGTCTATATATTTTTATGGGCGTTTAAAATTGGTAACTTTCATCAGTCATATACGAACAGCATCATTATGTTAAAAGGACATCAGTTTTGTTTTCAAAAGACATTATTGATTTATTATGTGTTTTTTTTTATGTGGGGGAAATAGTATAAAATTTAAAAATAATAATAAATTTCACAATATTCATTTGATTGAAATTTTTAATTGGAATTTAAAATATATAACTTCGTTCAGAGAAGATACAAATTGCCTCTTGTCGGAGCTCAGGGTACTTCAGGTCCCGATGACCTCCAGTGGATAGGTCTCACCCATGATTTCTACCGAAATTAATTGGTTTTAAAAAGTGTGATCTGTGCTCGAGTAATTACGGTACGTCTAGTTGATAAAATATCATGACCCCGTGATACAGTTATAGAATGTGACCTACATTTATGGTGTCCACGGGTCTGTGGTCTGAAATGTAAACATGTAATATAAAAACATTACAAAATAAGTTGAGACTGAAAACTAAAAATTGGGGCATCGATGAAAAAGTTTTAACAAATCGGGGAACGACTAGTTTTTAATTTAAGAACATGTGGGAGAGCTAAATAATTTTTTTTTTTTAAAATATCCATCATCCTTGTGGATTGGGCTGTGGATTCAATGAACGGGGCGCGTCAGATAAAACTTTTAAGAAAATCAAATTGTCCATTCTCTGACATGTTCGATCCTCTGTCATTGTCAACCCTCTGCCCTTGTCAAAATGCCGTGATTGTCAACCCTTTGTCATGATCAAAATTCTGTCACTACCAACCCTCTGTCATTGTTAACCCTCTGTCATTTGTCAACCCTGCGTCAGTGTCAACCCTCTCCCCGCCTCTTGTATTTGTTCACGGCGCGTTACAGATCCAGACCATGATTTCATATAGATGCTTACCTCTACCAAACTGGAGCACCAGAAGTTTTAGAACAATGACGGCGACACCTCCGAGTATCAGCACCGCAACAATCCGCATTGGTTTGAATGCTCTCATTCTCATCATCAGCATTGGTGAAACTTTGCTGTTATACAGATTGGATTTTTCAAAATTGGTTTGTCTAGTTTTATATACAGCGAGAGTATTTCATTGGTTAGTCTAGTTTTATATACAGCGAGAGTATTGCATTGGTTTGTCTAGTTTTATATACAGCGAGAGTATTTCATTGGTTAGTCTAGTTTTATATACAGCGAGAGTATTTCATTGGTTAGTCTAGTTTTATATACAGCGAGAGTATTTCATTGGTTAGTCTAGTTTTATATACAGCGAGAGTATTTCATTGGTTAGTCTAGTTTTATATACAGCGAGAGTATTTCATTGGTTAGTCTAGTTTTATATACAGCGAGAGTATTTCATTGGTTAGTCTAGTTTTATATACAGCGAGAGTATTTCATTGGTTAGTCTAGTTTTATATACAGCGAGAGTATTTCATTGGTTAGTCTAGTTTTATATACAGCGAGAGTATTTCATTGGTTAGTCTAGTTTTATATACAGCGAGAGTATTTCATTGGTTAGTCTAGTTTTATATACAGCGAGAGTATTTCATTGGTTAGTCTAGTTTTATATACAACGAGAGTATTTCATTGGTTAGTCTAGTTTTATATACAGCGAGAGTATTTCATTGGTTAGTCTAGTTTTATATACAGCGAGAGTATTTCATTGGTTAGTCTAGTTTTTGTTTACAATCGGTCGTTTTTCCACTGATGATTTTTTTTTTTCTACACGAGGTTTTCTTTCTTCAATGTTGTTGGAATTTGTTGCTGTTGTTTTGATAGGTTATCTCTGTTAATTTCCTTTCTTAGTTTTAATGCGGTAGATAAGTACGGTAGATAGCTACAAAAACTGTTATCGTTGTTTTAGAGTTCAACTTTTGTATGTTGTCTCTTTTAATGAGTGACACACCTACTTCCAAGTGGAACATGGAATAATGTATTCCGTCCTGTAATAAAAATAAAAGTTGAAATGATGTTTAACTGTAGGAATGACAATATAACTCAATCCGTTGGTGACGTGTGCACCCTAAGAATTAATGCGATGCCCAACTTAAACGACGCGAGTAATTGTTTTTTAAAATGATTGATTAGTGTCTGTAAACAATAGAAACAATAGCATTTTGACATGAACAACATCAACGTTGATAGTCAATGGCAAGAGTTCAACATTTAGAGAATCTGAAAAAAAAAAGCAAAATTTCATAGCATTTTAAACAATTCAAACATCGAAGGGAAAAAAAAATCCGACGGAAACACAGACAAAAATAAGCCACTGTTAGTACACCTTAAAATATGCAACAACACCCTGCAGCAAGCCTTAAATAAAAAGAAAGAGCAAACGATCAACTATGATGGACTCACTTTTCTCATCTACGTCCCGCTTTTAAGGCATGGGGATCTTGCAATGACTTAATGGGCTCCTGCAATTAAAACTGTTAATCTGGCTTTAAAAAGTGCTACCAGATGGTGATATATATAAACAGAATTTGCGGTTATCGACTACTGATCGAATCAGGTGCTTAGGGTGGGGGTGGGGATGGGGTGGGGTGGGGCGTGTCATATTTAGGGAACTTATACCAGTCTAATGGGTTTAAAACATTCATTTGTTTTGTTTAAAAAAAAAACAAGGAGTAAAAAAAATCATCTGTGGTATTTGTTTATAAATGTCTGATTGTTGCTTGAAAATATTCGAATGGTAGCAATATCACTAAACTGAATACATTGATTTAATTACCTGTGTGTATCGGTAATAAGAAAGGGGGTGGAGGGTACAGGCTGCACTCGACAAGATATGTTTGAGAGGTTGATGGATTGTAGCGCAGTAAATGTGATCCACAGGCAGAAACCCAAGGGCACACGGCTCACCGGTCGACCAAGACCGAGATGGGTCGGCGATTTAGAGAAGGATTTTTACGAGCAGGGCATCGCGCATGGTGGCGGAAAGCCATGGAGCTACACGAAAGGAAGGATGTGGTGGAACAAGCCAGAGTCCCACATGGGTGATAGCGCCAATGATAATGATGTCTAAATGGACGGATGTGGTGGAGCAGGCCAGTGTCCTACGTGGGCTGTAGAGCCACTGATGATTATGTTGCTAATGTGGGAATACAAGGAGATGTAATAGCGTAAAAGTTTAGTTGACATTATTTAGGCAAAAAAAAGTGTGTACGTGGGGGTTATTTGAATGGTATGAACAAAGAGGTAAGTGTAAAGGGTGAGAGTTGATCGGGAACCGTTGAGAAAGATTTAGGAACGGAGGGAATTTTGCTTGAGTTTAAGACTAGGAAGTTGAGACTGGTTTGTGGGGTGGGGGGGGGGGGCTTGCAACTATTAAATAATAATCTTTAAAAATTTAACTCTACAATCAGTTTTTGTGTTAATGCTAAGGGATCGGTTTCCCCAAAAGAGGTAAGTGTAAAGGGTGAGAGTTGATCGGGAACCGTTGAGAAAGATTTAGGAACGGAGGGAATTTTGCTTGAGTTTAAGACTAGGAAGTTGAGACTGGTTTGTGGGGTGGGGGGGGGGGCTTGCAACTATTAAATAATAATCTTTAAAAATTTAACTCTACAATCAGTTTTTGTGTTAATGCTCAGGGATCAGTTTCCCCAAAAATAATCTTTCTCCGTATTAGCACAATAACCGAAAAAAAACTCGTCTTTATCCATATTGTCCAGCTGCTGCTATAAATCTCAACTTTTCGAAGGTTAATTAATTGAAATATTGATCATTATATCGTTTCGAAAACTTGGTAGAGAAAAGCAATCACCAAGCCTGTCAGTTACAACAATCCTGCTCATGTGTTACCGTGCCTCCATTTAATCCAAGTGTATTATTTCAAGGTGACATTACGCGATGGTCGCAGGTTGCATTAAATACTTGCAGTGAGTCTCAGTACGTGCATTGGGGTCAAAATTTTCGATGAATTATTTTGGATTTTGTATAATCATTCAACCTTGGAGAAATCAACCTTAGCAAACAATGTATTATTTTTATTATTATTTTTTTAAAAAAAAAATTCGCCTTTCTTTGTGGCCGACAAAGTGTTTCGACGGCTAATTGACCCACTTCCCGTCAAACTGGCACGTAGACTCGTAGCCGACGACAACAAATTCTATTGAATTTTCAGCTCCACCCCAAAAAACCAACCCCTGAAAATGAGTTGTTCCTGTTTGTTGTCCCTAGGGGAAGGTGAAGGACATGTGATG